TTCTCAAGTTTTAACTGTACAATAACCTTTTTCTCAAAGCTTCGCTTTTCTAAATTGAAAAAAATAAGTGGTAACCTTCTCACCTTTTTCAATCCAGCGGGCTTTTGAACGGAACATGGCTTCTTTGCCTTTTTTTCGTAAATATCTTTCAGTTCTGTCTTGATGGATTCGTATACAAGCATCAAGAGTTTCCCGCTTCCGGTTTTTAGGCAATGCATTATCTCCACCATTGCTGAATATTCGTTTCAGCTTCGCGTCTGTTTACCTTTTATTTATGCTGTGTTTTTCCACTGGAATACTTCCTTTACGCCTTCTATACTGGTCAGCAATTCTATAAACTGGTGAGTCAATCAATTTTTTGGCTACTTATGTCTTCCGCAAAAAAAAAAATGCGATAAAACTTTATGGGTTTCGAGAGGGATGTTTACTTGCGAAATGTTTCAAGTCTGTAATCATTCTGTTTTGATTTCTTCTCTAGAAGTTTTGGTCAGCACTCTGGACTATTTTTTGGCTATTTTTTGTTTCAAAATAATAGGTTTAAAATAGGTAGAAAATTGCTTTAAAATAGTACAGAAAAATAGTAAAAAAAATATATGATAGGAATGATAGGAATAAAATAACATATAAAATGTATAAAACAGATGTAAAATACTCATTATTTTTGTAAGGGGTAATTTCACCTACCCACGCGACAGGAAATAAATCTTGTACCAGTATACTGAATTCATTAATTCAAGTACATTTTGTCAGTTTTCTGAACTGCCATTCGCATGCATGAATGACCACAAAACGTTGGCTTAAAAGTTAGGAGTGTCAAGCTCTTTGTGTTATGTAAACAAGGATGGGACAGATGAGTTTCAACATTGTTTGTTGTTGTTGACAGGAGGATATGACTGAATTGAAAACATATTTAGTTGAAATATTAGTACTGTAGTTCAGATTTCAAGTTTTAGAATAAGTTAGTACTAGCAATATGGCATATGAATCAAATGATTATTTTCAATTTTTTTTTTTACATCTAAAGTGATTGGTGTCTGGTTGCTTGCCATGATATACCTGGTAGTTTTAAAATAACTGAAGACAACATGGTTCAGAATAAGTAACTGGATAATAACAGAGTGATCAGGGCTTTCCACAGTTCTCCTCAAATTTATCCAATACACATCATCACATATTGTACAATCGATGATTGCTTGACTGTCAATCAATTGAGTGACCAGTTAATTAGTAAGTCAGTGAGTAAGTCAGTCAGTCAGTCAGTTATTATGGCATTGCAATTTTCTAGCTCTTGACATTTTAATGTCAATTAGTCAGTAGTCTACATGACTCGGTAGAAAACGATTTATTTAAATTAGTAAATCTACCAGGCGATGAATCTTGTATAATTGAGTCTGAAGATGGTATAGAATAATTCCGAAATGTAACATCACTAATTTCCCTTGTATCTGCTGTCTATTTATAATTAGTCACAGTGCAGTTACTCGGATTAACCTTTATCCTTCATGTAAATAACAAGCTTATGCATATTAGAACGTCAAGAGGCCCTTTATTCCAAGAGAGTTTCCCGTTCGGAAATAGAAGAGAGGGACATGGGGATTTGCGGTGTTGATATTTTTTTAATGCGGTGATGCGGTGAATAAAATCTCAACTTGCGGTGTTGCGGTGATCTCAAACCCTACGGTGTGCGATTTTTGTGTTTTTCACGCTGCGGTGTTCGGTGAAATGAAATTGTTTGCGGTGCAGGGAGGTTTTGATTTACCATTCTCAAACCTAAATTTGACCTGAATTCAGCATGTAAACTTCGTTAATCCATGCTAATTTATGACAAACACGTACCATTGGGGTTAATAATTTATAACAAAATACAGACCATCACTTTCTAGTCAATCTTCAACATGCTTCGGCTGACAAGTAACTCGACCTCTGCCACCCGGAGCTCAGTGTTCGGTAGTCACGTGGAGGAGCGAGGACAGAAACAATCCTGGAAATTCTGGAAACGCCAAGCTTTTTTTCTTCGCAAAAAAGGAAAACGTGGAGAAAACTACCGGCAACAAAATATATTCAGATGTCGCGTCGGCAGGGGAGAAAGAAGGCTTTCTAAGCTAAGGAAGCTTTGTAAATTGCACCCGTTTACTATTTTTTTCCTTTTGCTATTCGGCTTCGTCTAGAGGTCATTCTGATACCGGTCTATACCCACTCCCAGGTCCTGCGACTTTCTTGACCTTCTATTTTTTCAAACGARRATCGATATCGAACGCAAACGCAGCTAGCTCCGGAAAGCAATACTTCTAGTCAAGATAGGGCTTCAGTCTGTGGGTTTATACACCAAGAAAAGTGAGCGAAGAACATGTACAAGAAGAGAGGGATCTGGGGTAAAGGCCATCTCTCGAGGCTCCTCTCTTTTTTTCTTCGTCCGCTTCTTAGCTTCCCGCAAGGTTTCTTCACGAGAGCAAGAAAACTGATTTACAGGCATCAGCAGTATCGACACATGCGTAATGAAAAGCGTTGTGATGTGTTTATTTTGTGGAAAATTGTTGAGGTGTAAAAGTATTGTTTTAAGTGCAGATGCACGAATCATGGCGCTAAAAATACGAGTTGCGGTGACGGTGTTTCGTTGACTTTTCTTGCGGCGATGCGGTGTTCGTTAATTTTTTTTTTTTTTTGCGGTGTTGCGGTATTTAGAACCCCTCATAGAACACTCCAAACTTGTCCCGAGGGCGCCTTTTCCTTTAAAGTTTCGGAAGGGCGGGAAAAGCCAAGGAGAAAAAAATGGTAAATGCAAACAAACAAACAAAGAAATAAAATAAAACGAATACAATTTCCTCAAAGAATTTTGAGCAGAAATCTTTTGGGGGGTTGACGTCGCCGACATTTTCTCCATCGAAATTTATTCTTCCTGAATTACTTTATTTGGATCATCACAAGGGACCAATGGTCACTTCGCCCCATGGTCATTTCACCCCCAGTCACTTCGCCCCAACCAAAATTCACTTCGCCCCATAATCGAAGTCACTTCGCCCTATACAAAAGTCACTTCGCCCCATACAGAAGTTACTTCGCTCCATGATATAATTAACGTGTATATACGCTTACAATAGTCTCTATTTGCCTAACTGATGCTATAGTCGTCCCATTTATAAATGCAATGTTGATGACATGTTTGTAATAGCTACAATCCTGGACAGAATAAAAAGGAACAGTTAACCTCCTTCCCCCCTCCAAAGCAATGATGAAGGCGCGACGGAGCAAAAACGCGCCATTTTGGCATCATTGAAATGGGGGGAAAGGGGTGGTCCAGGTGTTCTATGTATTTTGTCCAAGATTGTAGTTTCACTCGCCCCAATCTCTCTCTGTCCCCCACGCCATGCCGATGTTGTTGATACACTCCTTGGTAATTCGCGCTCGTTGATCGATGGCCAATCGAATTTTAAAAATTGTAACCCTGTAGAGGATGAATTGCATATAAAAACCTTTCGTTAAACATGTTCGTAGTTAAAGGACTTAAAAAGCGACCGAGATCTTGGCGTAGTTAAAGTGCGATTATGTCCAAATATCTTTGTTTGATTACGCGCGTTGTTTAGTGTTCACTTGTAGCACTTCCATAGCAACAAGTCAAACAAAGTCCGTTGATCGATCGATGGCCGATCGTATTTGAAAAACTTTGAAAACCATCCACGGCTTTACGCGCGTTGTTTAATAAACTGCCCTCAAAGCCTTTTTTATTGAGTCTAAATGTATTTGATTTATTGCGCGTGTAGTTGTACACAACTTCTGTTAATGAAGACTGTATTGTTGTTTTCTTGCCACACGTACCCACGTACCCACGCGTAATGTGTGAACTCATGCTAATTCAAGACTTTTCAATTCGAGGCTCTTTTGGGCACAACGCGCCGACCTTTCAAAGACTTGTTTATTTGAAAATTCGGAACACGACCTTAGCCAGAATCCAGTACGAGCGCGTCAGCAAGGCCTCCAATTTGATGGTTGTTTTCGTTGGCAACATCGTACTTGTGGAACGGGAATCTCCCAGTGTGATTACCGTTTTGCTGTGCAAACTGGTGCTTCCATCGACTGGCGCTGTGCTACCTGCCTGTCCATACACAGGGAGGTCAAACTTACTGCCCTGCAGATCCGCCTTGTTTCTGACAGGAAACTCAAAAGAATCCAGCAACGAAAGTACCGCGACCTCCAGACCAAACTGTTCGACTTGTGGGACGAATACAAGGCCAACGAACGGTCAGCCAAGCGGTTGCTGAAACCCTGCTCTTACCTGAATGCACCGAGGGACTAGGCCGATAAACCAAACAAACAAAAACTCAAACGGCTCCTTTAGGAGCCACCAAATAAAATAAAAGCAATGATCAACAATGCAGTACATAGAATACATAGAATACAGATCCCGGGGGTGGGGCATTTACCCTCTTTCTTCGCCCCCACCCCGGGGCATTTAGACAGCTTATGTGTCCCCACCCCGGGGAATTTGCCCATTTTTTAAAAAAAAATGCTNGTGCAGACAGTAGAATTCGTCACGAGAAACATAGTTGTCAAAGGAGAGGATGCGAAAAAGCACGAGAGGATGTCCCAAAGATCCCATTTCCTACTTGAAAGCAGAATGGGATCCCAAATGGAATAGAATTTGGATACACTGCTACTCTACTCACTATCTATAGATAGCCAATCAGAGAACGGCATTAGTAATAGAACGCCAGTAGATTCAAACTAATAGCTGAGATAAACCAAAATAAAATTCGAGGTGAAATAAAGGTTATTGTAAAGTATTGTATTGTATAAATGTGTATTAATGTATATTTATACTAAAACATGATAACTGCTGTTAAAAAGAAAGCATACTTAATGCCATAATAAATCTTTGATTATGTCTGTTGCTGTAAATAAGAAGATAACAAATACATGCTTGTTACAAACTGAATTTTTCTCTCTGTGGAATTGTTACCCAGCAACGTTGGTACAGTTTCTTTTTGTCGAGTTGACAAGTGCACCTTAGCCCTAGAGTCATCTTTTTAACGCCGATTACCAAACAGCAAAAACATCGTTTTACTCTGTACAAGTCCTCTTGAAAGTACAACTGAAAAAGCTTAAAAGCGAGCCTCTGAAGTGTTCAGTTAGCTTTTACTGTTTCGGCCTCACCGGAAGTCAACGGCAACACAATACAAATAACCACGAACCACGAACTGGCCTGTTCCGGTACCTGGCACAGGCGGGGGCCTGGGCATCAGTCTCTTTGGAAAAACAAAATGGCGGCACACTGAAAAGAATTTCACATTTCCACTTAAAATTTACCTCCAATGGCGAAGAACGTAAAAAAATCAAATGATCGTGAGTTATTTGATTCCTTTTTCCCTGGGCTTGTTGATGATGTCGTGAAGGAGAATGAAAACGACCTAGAAACGGGAGACGCTGTGCGTCACATGCGCGAGGTAGGAATCCACGAACGTACATGATTAAAATAATTTACGTTAGCTCAGTTGTTTTTGCACAGTCTGTCGTTAGCATGAAAATTACAAATACATGAACGACTTCATAGGATGACAGAACCCTCAGTGAAGATTTTGATCAAATTCCCAAGGGAAGGAAAACAATAATCAATCAAAAGTATCGGAAAAGCACCACCATGGGGCAAAATATCCATATATTTCTGCGTAAAACAGATGAAAGAACACTAGAAAAGTATGTTGTCGCTGCCTTTATTTAAGCTTAACGTAAAACTGAACTGACCTCCACCCTACCGCTAGCGGGATTTGTCTCTCGGTAGTCCCGAGTTCAAATCCTCGCTCACGCTTTGTAAGTAGCCAACTGGTCTGCCTCCTGCCAGTTGTTATTTTGAACTAAGTTTTATTTATTTGGAATATTTGTTTCCTTTGTTTTAGGGCATGCCTGTAAACTAGCTAAGCTTAGTGCTTTTATAGCTAAGTGCATGACCACTATAAATAAGATTTACATTTTTTTTTTATTGTATGGTCAGTCCAAATGTAAATTTTTTACATTAAAAGGTTGCTCTTGACTGATTAGATGGCAGTCTAACCTGCGACCAGGCATCTTGTTTTTGGAGAGGGGGGGGGCTGAACAGAATGCCTGATACATTTACTTCCTGAGTCGTCTGCCGCCCCTTCATTGCTTACCTGTCAAAAGTGACGTTATCTTATTGTCATGTGATGAAATTAATGTGAGCCAATCAGATTTGGATCATGTTTACTGTAGATAGTGTCGGCCAACACTAGCGATTGACATATCGACTGACACTCGGTTGATATGTCTGCCGAATATCAGCCGAGTATTGGCCAAGTATCAGTCGAGTATCACTGAATACATGGCCGATATATTGATTGACACTCGGTTGATACAGTACGTTGGTCGAGTAGCGACTGACATATACATCGACTGATACTCAGTTGATATGTCTGCCGAGTATTGGCCCAGTATCGGTCAAGTATCTGTCAAGTATTGGTTGATATACGACCAATATATCAACCGAGTGTCGGTCGATATGTCAGTCGAGTATTGCTGAGTAGTGACCTACATATTGATCCACATTCGACCGATATTCGACCGATACACAACCGACTGAGTGCCAATATATTGACTGATACTTGGCCGATACTCAGCCGACATATCGACAGAGTGTCAGTCGATATATCGGTCGCTAGTGTCTGCTGACACTACCTACAGTAAACATGATCCTCAGATTTTACCAGAAATTCATGTGGCTAGTTGGAAGTGTGAGAGCAACACAGTGCAATGTGCTTGTGAGCTTTCCAGGCAAGGGGAATAGTAAGTGGAGATGTTACTTAAGGTCATTAAGAAGCAAAGAATTTTATTGAAAAAAATCGGTGGAATATCAGAATTGTTTTTATCAGAATTGATCAAAAGAGTGAGAATAAACATTACAGCAGGTATTCATGGGGACTCCTCACAACTGCATCAACTGCACATGTTTTTGACTCTCACTGAGAGTCAATTGGCAAATGACGCTCTGGCCAAATCACGTCGATAGCACGTCTGAAACTCCTTTTAAGCAGATGGTCTTCTGGATGTGTTCCATTGAGAATAAAATCTTGAAGAGATGAAGTCATGGCCACTGAAGATCTTATAGTGTAGATTGTAATTTCGTATATCTATCTCCCTGGCTGCCGCTCTTTGTGTTTCAAATTAAACCGAAAGCTCAGATATCCAGTCACGTAAACAATCAGAAAGGCAGGCTTAAAAACTCTTTTGTTTTATGACCAAATCAGAAAAAAAAGTCCAAATTCTGGACTATGGGCAGACAACTCATTAAGTAATTGTATCAGGCATTCTTTTTTTCTCCTTCCCCCTGCTGTTAAAAAAGAATGCCTGATCACTGGTTAATGGCAGCCCATGTAAGTCAAGAAGCACTTTCTACTCTGTATAAAACCCTAGTATGCCCTATACTGGAATACGTGGCTCTGGTGTGGTTCCCCTACCTAGTAAAAGATATTCTGGCACTCGAAAAAGTCCAGAGGAGAGCATTGCGCCTTGCACTCGGTCAAAGATGCGGCAAAATGGAGTATGATGAGTGTTTGAAAAATTTGAACTGGCCCACCCTGGAGAAACAGAGGCACTTTATCTCCCTAGTTGAATATTATAAAACTATTTTCGGCTCAAACAATTGAAGTTTATTGAATTTTTCAAACATTCCTGAGATAACAGGACACGCGCTAATCACTCTCGTAAACTAGGCATGAAAAATGCACGGGTGAACTCTTATAAATACTCATTCTTTGTCCGCATAGTGAAAGAAGGGAATAAGTTACGGCATCATGTAGTTCAAGTAGATTCTTTTAAGCCTTTTAAGGCGAGACTGAAGTCTTATTTACATGTTTCAGTGTAATAAGTATTTACATGTAGTGACGCACTTTTAGTTTTATTTTTGTTTTGTTTTTTATTTATTTATTTATTTATTTATTCATTTATTTAATTGTTTAGGAAACGTTATAGGGTCCACCTCAAGTTTTCCTTGTCATGATTTTTTTTTTATTTATTATATTTATTTTAATTTGTTTTCATCATGAATAAACCAGTATTGTATTGTATTGTATTGTGTTGTAGTTTCGGGTAAATGACGATGAAAACAAATCAAAACCTGCCTTTCAGTTCTCCAAAGCACGAGCCATGAGAGACAGACTTTATAATCACATCTGAATTAATACACCAGGCTTCCCTTGGTCAAAGTCAAACTTCCAGACCCTGGGGCTACACCATAGGGAAAAGATTGTGAACATGAGGAAAACTGCCTCTACAACTTTATCGTGACTTTGAAAAGCCAAAGGCCAAAAAAAGTGTTTACATTTCATGTATGACCAAAAATACATGTGCACCCATTTTCATCAGTAACTTTGATTCTTTGAATGTACCCACATACTGTCGGGCCCTTTAACCAGAGGCCTAGGCTACATAAGGTCAATAAGGTTATGAAGTGCAGTGTGTAACTGGTACAAGTAGATGTTGGGGCAGACATTTTCAAGTGAAACTGACAGTGAAACCTTTTTCTGAAATTTCATTCTGTGCTTCTTTCAGGTATTAGAGTACAATGTACCTGGAGGTATGTATTGGTCACCATGACAACTACCACCACCACCAACAACAATGACAACAACAACAACATTAATTTATTGGTATTTCTATTTACAATTTTGAGGTATTACCTGAGAACAATAACAATGACATGGAAATAAGGGAGGGTGCTCTCCTTGAATGGAAAATTCCAGTTTGAATTGTCTGAGAAGGTTAAATTTTAGGTATCAAATGAATCAGAATTTTTCAAAATTTTAAGAAAAGAGGACAGATTTTGAAAATTATTTCTATTTATTTTCTTCACATAATTTTCAAAATTGTCAGTTGAATGGTTTGTATTTATGTAGTAAGTTACTCAACAATGTTCAGATTTTCTGGAAACTTTCCAAGGAAATTTCTGTACCATTTGCCACTCTGTTTTGAAAGTTCTGGAGTTTCCATTTGAATGGAAATTTTTGTAAGAAGTGTCACAAGATGTAAGCCATGTATCATTTACAGTGTACCACTTTTCCTTTCCTTGACTTTGTGAGACTTTGAGCTGGCTAAGTACGTTGATCAGTTACATTGAGATATGGGGGTATGCCATATACAAACTCACCCCCCCTCCCCCCGTTAAAAGAATAGAGAGCAAGTCAAAACATATTCTGAATCAGTAATTAACAAAATTAATCATATACCACCAGTTACATCTTTGCATGATCAAATATGATGCAAAAGCCATTATTTTTTTTATTGTTCCACTTGACGATGCAAAAGCTTACTATATTAATCAGTATCTGGGTCCAAGACATTGTGAAACTGGTTTTTAATCTTTCTTATCAAATAATTTGTCCTTCTTGAAGGAAAATAATTTTTCTTCAATCTTGTACATATCAATTATTGATCTTTATCTGCTGACAAATCATCTCAAGACTGATGAGAAATAAAGCACATGCTACCCTGGTTTGATGCTTTAATGGCTGTGTTACTTTCTGTTTAACACACTAGGAAAAAGAAATCGTGGTCTTTCTGTGATTGGATCATTGCGGCATCTTGTAAACCCCAATGAGTTAGCAGAAGATGATGTGAAAACTGCAGTTATACTCGGATGGTGTGTGGAATGGGTACGCTCTTGAAATAATTAGAAATTTAACATCACGAGTTCTCTTTTTGTTTTGTTGCTCAAAACAACATCTATAGGGATCCATTTTGTTGTTCCTTGTTTCAGTTGCAAGCATTCTTTTTGGTTGCTGATGACATCATGGATGAGTCTTTAACAAGACGAGGCAAGCCTTGCTGGTACAAAAAGGTAAATTGGACCCTTAAAATACCATGGCCTTTATTTCCCTTTTTCTGGGTGGAGTTTAATGGCTGAAAATATATGTTGGTTGGGGGAGTGGGCGGAGGAGGGAGGGAGGGAAGTGTTGATTTCTTTCAATGAATCGTAGACCTGTGGAAAGTGGCTTCCTGAGTTTTTTTCTGCAAATCATGTTTTAAACATGTTCATGAATAGGTACAGCTATACAGACTTACTTATTTTCACCTTGTGTCTGTGTAGGCAGGAGTGGGCAGTATTGCTATCAATGACTTCCTCCTTATAGAAGCCACTATCTACAAACTTCTTAAGAAACATATCCGTCATAAGCCATATTATGTTGATGTGCTGGATTTGTTTCATGAGGTGAGTGTGTATTACAGTGCAACTATATGTCTATGCTTGGTTCCTAATTGCTGTCATTTCCAAGCCAACCCCCGTCTTTACATTGGGTTAATTCTTTTGATGTTCAGTAAAGTGGGCTTATGATTTTAAAAACACTTACTGTAAAATTCTTTGTGTTTGACTAAACTGTCAAATGCCCCACCCCTGGCCTGGGCAGCCCTTTGTGAGCTTGGAAATGCCCCATGGTGGGGACTTACAATCTGTCAAATGCCCATCAAATGCCCGGGGGGGGGGGGGGGGGGGGGGGTATGGGCACTGCTGGAATTGACTGATGCATTAAAAACATGACAATTCTTTTGATAAAAATATAATATCCTAGAAAAAGCCGAATAACTCATGCAAGCTTATCTTTATTGAAACTCGTAATCTTTTCCAAAAGCTCCCTTTTCTAAAATTATTGTTTAAAGTGAAAGAACAAGAACAAAGTAAAAGATTAGCGGTACTTCATCGCTGTTAATTAAAGTCCTGAAATTTGAAGCGTACGTCATTGCTGTGTTGTCATGGCAAGTTTTCAACGAATCACTCGTGGTAAAAGTGAGACGACATTTACCGAATGTCGTCTCTCTCGAGTAAGCAAAACTATGAGGCCGATAACGATAAGAACTAACAAGGGCACTTTAAGTATTGACCCCGTGTATTAACGGGTTTTTGAGGGATTACAACGTATAAGAATTCGTGTTGAGGAAAGTAACCGACCGAAATTATATTTTAGTGTTACCAAGCGAATTTAAGCGAACTCGACTGGAAGCTGCATTCGTTAATAATCTGAACTGACATGAGTCTTAAGTTCAAAATCAGTCCAACTCCAACATCAAAACGAAAAGTTCACGACAAATTTCACTAATTTCTTACTTGGAGCGAAGTAACTTCTGTATGGGGCGAAGTGACTTTTGTATGGGGCGAAGTTACTTCGATTATGGGGCGAAGTGACTTCGATTATGGGGCGAAGTGACTTCGATTATGGGGCGAAGTGACCGTAATTCGACCAATAAGATAACAGAACGTACGGGCCAACCCCAGGGTCTGCCCTTCCACTTTCGAAGGGAAAAGCGTCCTAGGTTGAATGATGTTGTAATACATTTTAAATGATAATATGAAAATTTGATAGATGTTTAAAGGCATACTTAGTGCTATATAAGATATTAGATTATGATAAAGATAAATAAAAGTATCAATGATGCTACGAATTGACTTTCTCTCTGTTTGGATTTTTTATTTAAAAATTATTAACGGACCGAATTTTTCTTTTTTCGACAACAACTGCAATTCAGACGCGCGCCTTAACCCCACAGTCATCTCCTTTAATGACTCAAACCTCTTTACACTATTATAGACGACATTTCAAATCCACTAGAAGTTGAAAACGCATGATGAACGAAATACTCAACAATGGATTTATGTTCTATTGTGAATAATCGATGTACGCGTGAAGCTGGGAGAGCAAGAAATAAACATGAGGAATAGCCTAAAAAATCGGGCTATAAGATCCTCCTGTCTATGAAACCCCCACTTGCAGGCCGATCTACACGTAAGCAATAACATCACGCGGAGGGGGGTTCTCCCTATCACGTCCCATACGGGGAGGTTCCGCCCGAAAGGGGTACCTTTGGAAGTCTTCAGGTTTCTGACAGGGTAGGGATTTCTCAGGTTGCGGTATATGAAACGAAAAGAAAATCTGTCAATTAGATATAACAGGAACTGAAACCTGCTTTTTGGTTCACATTTCTCCTGGTAATGCTTGATGTTCTCCTGTAGTATCGTTCATTAACTTCATTCCAAGGGTTTAGAAAACGGATGCAGTGTTCTTAAGTAGGTACGTTAAAAGGGGTACATTTTTTAAAATAAAAGGTCTACGAAAGGGGTACTTTCTCTGTCAAAAGGGTAGTTGGCTGGACCTCGGGGTGCAGCCCCCCCCCCCCCCNCCCCCCCCCCCCCCCCCGCACAAAATGTTTTAAAGACTACCCTCCCACCCGGCAATAACAACAAATTATTCGGTGATACGCCCTTCCTCTCCCTCTTAGATACGAGCCTTCCTCTACTTTCCTTGTCATCCGTCTCAAGGGGCAAGTAGAGTTTGGAACAAGATACTTCAAATAACTTCTTTTTAGTGTTTTAATTGTTTAACAGCCTTATTAAAATTCGACGTGCAAAGTAACTCTTAAACAGGCTTCAACTTTTAAGGAGGCCTCACATAATGACCGCTGTGCTTCGCGTATTCGTTTCCTTACCTGTGCTTGTAAGAGGTTAAAACCGCTAAATGGAAAACATCGCCAGTTATCTTTCATCAGTTCAGTCAGAAACAATTTTTTCATAACGGTATAAGCCCACTCCGAATGTGAGCTCTCCGTTTGTAAGCGCGCTCAAAACTGCTTAGAAGTTGCACGAGGCTTAGGCTTATAAACGGAATTTTACATTAGCTCCTACGCTAGCTCCCCAATTGGGATTCCGTTCACAGGCTAAGAGATTCCCTATTTTAGAGATTTCACGTACTCTTTCTTCGTTGCCAGTTGTTCGTTGCCCGTTACTCGTGGCCCTTTTCTCGTTCATCCATTGTCTGGTCTCGCCGTACTCAGAAATAAAGACGCACATGATAAGGTCTGGGCACACGTAAACGCAGGTAGTTTCGCCTGATTTAGTGCACCGAAATATATATATATATCTACGGTCCCATTTCTTGGATATTTTCAGTTTAGCTCTGGTTTGAAAAAAAAAATACTTTGTAAAGCACGCCACCTTAAAAACCCAAAGCGTAAAGAACATTTCGACTTTTGTAATGTTGATGAGCTGATCTCGCCTAATTTCGAAATACTAGTCAAGCACGTATAACGTTTTTCTTAAAGAGTAAGTGTCAATTAGAATTGCTCATTTACTATATTCTTTTAAAACGTTCGAAGGACGACGGGATATTTGTTGGTTCATTTCACTAAAAAAAATTAAACTGGTGACATAAAAACTGATCAGTTGGGTTAATTAACTATTTTTCATCTCCCTGGCATGACATATGTCGAACCATTTACGTGAGACTGTCTATCTCAAATGAAAATCTCCTATCCTATCTGCTATCTTATCAGATGTTTTCAGCTGGTTTATCCGCATTTATATTAAGAAAAACTGTAAAGCTTGAAATAAGCATCACCCTAACTGCTGCAACACCTTTCGTTGACAAAAGACATCTCCTAGATCAGCTAAGGTTAGTCAAATATTAGGATTAAACGATGGTATAAACTGTAGTAATGAACCGCATTACTATCGTAGGTCTTGCCCCTAAGATATATGGGTGCAAAATTCCAGGACTTTAAGGTTACAGTATACCTTCAGGGGTGTCTCGCGCGCAAGCGATGTAGCGCGT